GCTATCAGGACATTTTTTAGTTTTAATCTATCTTATTAGTCATTGAAAATACATTAAATTATAAAAAAAAATCTGAAAATAATTATGTCATATTAAATAATTTATTTAGTTATTTTTTCAAGATTTGATAATTTAAATTATTCATAATTTTCTAAAAGCACAAATATAATTAGAACTAATGTTGGAAAAAAAATTATAATGGAAAATTCTTATTATTAAACTAATATCCTATTACTTTGTTTAATTTACCAACATAATTTTTTTTTGTTTCTCACCTTGGATACGGTAATGATAAGATGACTAGACACATTGCATATTTTTTGGGTGATATATGACACTTTCAAAATTGTCATTTTTGTGTCATCTTCCTAATTTTCTTCTTCTTATGATTAATTCATTCAAATCAAAGTTATCTTCTCACCACCATTATCAAAATATATTCAAAAGTGTAATAAACAGTCATGAGTTTTTTTCTCTTCAAGGGTCACGATACATAATCATTTTTGTGCGCAAATAAACACATAATTTTAAAAGAGAAAAATTGCAAAAATGTCACTTTTTATGTTCACATTTGCAAAAATACTATTTAGGAGTGTTCATTTGCAAAAACACCACTAATTATAGATTTTTAAACTTTATATCTTAAAATTCTAAACACTAAAAAATAGTTTGACCTCTAAACCCCTCCTAAACCCCTTCTAAACCCTCATAACTAAATTCTAATAGAACATAATTAATCTAAACATAAATAATATAAAAAAAAATAATTTTTAAAAAGTGGTAATTTTGTAAAAAATTTAAAAATATAATACTTTTATAAAGTGACACTTGAAAATGACATTTTTTTAATTTTTAATTTTTAAAATGGTATCTATAAACCACCTTCTTTTCTATTCAATTATTTACTCCTTTTTTATCTAACACGATTCAATTTTCACACATCCGAAATCTTTTGTGTTGTTGATTCTCTCTCTCTCTAAACCAAACAAATTTCAAGAAAAACACAAAAGAGTAAATTTTTTTTTCCTCTCTAAGAAAATAAAAATGCCTTTAAGCAACAATGTAATCGGTTGCATAAACTTCATCTCCGTCCTCCTCTCAATTCCGGTAATCGGCGCCGGAATCTGGTTAGCCACCGGAACAGTAAACTCCTGCGTGAAGCTCCTTCAATGGCCAGTAATAATCCTCGGAATCTTAATCCTCCTAGTGGGTCTCTGTGGTTTCATTGGAGGGTTTTGGAGAATCACATGGCTTCTTGTTGTTTACTTAATTGCCATGCTGGTCCTAATCGTGCTTTTAGCTGTTCTTGTTGGATTCATTTACATGGTTACCATTAAAGGCTCTGGTCATCCAGAACCAAGCAGAGCTTATCTTGAGTATAGTCTTCAAGATTTCTCTGGTTATTTACGTCGACGAGTTCAGAGATCTTATAAATGGGAAAGGATTCGTACTTGTTTGAGTACTACTAGTATTTGTCCTGAGTTAAACCAGAGATTCACTTTGGCTCTTGATTTCTTCAATGCTCATCTTACTCCCATTCAAGTAAGTATCTTTTTTCTTGTATATTTCTTAAAATTTTGGGTTAGAAATTGAAAAAGTTTATCATATTTTTCTTTTGTTTAGACAAATGGGTTTTTTTTGTCCTTGTAGTTCCATTAGTGTTTGAAGTCGTATTTTGCGTCAGTTGGTTCAATAATTGAAGAAGATTAGGTGTAAATGGAGTAGAAAAAAAGTTAGGGGGTCAAATTCGGATGGTCATGAAAAGGACAGGGGTGGTAATGAAAAGATAAACTTTGTGCTTTGCTTGATTTTAGGTTTGTCTAACAAATTGTAGATCCCTTTTGTGATTTTTTTTTTTTAATGCTCAAAACTTAAAAATCAAATTTTAATGAAATTACTGTTTTTATAACTTTTAATTTAAGAAAATGTTGATTTTTTTCTCTTTTCATTCCTTGTAGTTAATTTTTAAATAATATACAAAAATCCAGGGTGTAAACTGAAAAGAAAAAAATATAAGGGGGGGGGGGAAATCGAATGGCCAGAAAAAGAACATGTGGATGGGGTAATTAAATTATAAATAAAAAAAGATTCTTAGCTTATAGGCTTGTCTGAACAAAGACTGGAAAAGTTTAAACCTTTTAATTAAAAATTATAAAAAACCCCCAACTTTTCTAGATTCTTCCACTATGTGCACTTAATGAGTCACGCGTGAACAACTTTTTGCCCCTATATTTATCTTTTATTTAAAATCTAACCCCATTTCTTTATTTTCAGTCTGGTTGCTGCAAGCCACCAACAAAATGTGGTTTCACGTTCGTGAATCCTACATATTGGATAAGTCCAATAGATATGTCTGCAGATATGGATTGTCTACAATGGAACAATGATCAAAACACTTTGTGTTATAGTTGTGATTCCTGCAAAGCCGGTTTACTCGCAAATCTTAAGGTAGATTGGTTAAAAGCTGATATATTTCTCCTTTTGGCGCTTATCGGATTGATAATCGTTTATATAATCGGCTGCTGCGCTTTCCGGAACGCAGAAACTGAGGATATTTTCAGAAAGTATAAGCAGGGTTATACATGATCGTTATGAGAAGTTTAGTGTCAAAACTGTGAGGAATGTTATCAAATGCTTGTCTTTGGTTTGGTTTTGCAAAAACTTTGCATTTGTCTAATTAATATCATATATATATGATCATATGTTATTGTTATGTAATCTATCAAAACCTAAGGCATTTTTTGGTATACACTTAACCTTTGTCTTGTATTAAGCTATAACATTTTTGGATGATTCCATTGATGTATACTTCACTAGCTTCTAAAAGTTCCTGCAATCTTTTGATGTATACATTTCTGTCATGAAACATCATCCAAGACTCGAGAAATACGAAAATGTTTAAGACGCAAACAAGCAATGTCGGCCGTGTTCGTCCTATTGACTCACAGGATTTCTATGATTGTATACAATGTGATTACTTTCTCGGCTATGTATGTACTAATCTCCCTAGAAAACTAGATAATGCTTTGGGTAATCACTCGCTTTATCTTCATGATTAAACCTATATAAGTCAAATCCGATACCACTAGAAGATCATCTGCAAGAAACATTGTTGGCTATGTCACCTACAACGGTTTATGAACAGAAGGCGTCTTCATAACAAGTCTTTTTGCACTTGTCTAATTGAACATTTCAAGTGAACAATATTTAGATTATCTGTTATAATAATCGATCAAAACCAAATTTACAACCCAAGGACATAGTCAAAAACCAACTACTTAAAAGCATTTTGTCTTATTCCCCCCCTCAAAACCCCTTAGCACTCACTGTCTAGCATCACTTTAAAAATTATACCAGAAGACATTCTGTACACTTACTAGTTATATGACCACTACTTAGTAGCACAAAACTAAGGCCCTTCTTTAGAAGTTAAAACCTTTTTGTGTGTGTCTTGTATTCAGCTATATACCATTTTTTGAGGATGTCTATATATTAAGAAGCCCTGAAAATGTAACACCAGCAGCTTCTTCGTCTTCTTTTGTGATTTGATCTCATTGCAGTGGAGATCGGTAAGGGATTCCCTTTCTAGGCCTTCGTCGCTTTGAGCTAAAAGTAGGAACTTGAGGTGTTGATGGGCTCAAACTCTGCGGATTTGAAATGTTATTGTCTACTCCTGAACTGTTGCTTGAGTTCTCTGATTCCATTGGTGTATGCTTCACTCTCTTCTCCTCACAGCTACTAGATGTTCCTGCGACCTTTCCATTTCACCAAAACATAGAGAAAAGGTTTATCAGAAGACAGACTCGTCTGCTTAGATTTAAGTAAAACCAGTGATTTATTGAAATGTCCAAGAAAACGATCAACAGTTTCAACTGGAGTTAAACCGAAAAGCCAGGGAGAGTTTTTGGTAAAAGTTGCTTAAAGTTTGTACCCATACATTTGCTATTATAAACCAATACCAAAGTTTCTTCCATTTTATCACAGAAACTAAACAAGAAAGAATTGTAAATTGGTTATGCACCTTGCAGCCAAGAGAGCAGAAGCAGAAGCAATCGTCGACAAGGCCACGATAACAGACCTTACAAGCACTAGTAGCCCCTACCCCTTTACCAGGCCTAGGCTGAGGCCTCTGATTCAGAAAGACAACTTTTGCGCTATTGATCACATATGTCTGAATACTTCTTATGTCCAAAAACTTCTGAATCTCATTGACCCTTATCACATCATGGTAAGATGATCTCCTTATCTACAAACCAAGAACCACCTTAAACATTCAGAATCCAAATCACCCGTAAAAAAAAAACAAATAAACGAGGACTTTGGATCACGAAATGCAACGCACCTGAATGATACGATGTTCCTTGTGGTGCGCAAGACATGTATAGCAAAGCGAGCCATTGGTGCAGTCTAAGCAATACATATTGCATTCCCTTTTCGATGAGCCACTGTGAAACTCGCATTGAACAAAGAAGTTTTCTTTCAGTAAAGGTTTTAGCCATGGAGGCCATCTATTCTCTTCTTCCTCTACTCCACCAGCTCCCTGAAAGAGAGAAAGAAAAAAAAAACCCATTAACATAATCACTCATTAGTCATTATTCCCAAAGAACTCAAAGAAAACACCATTGACTTGTACATAATCAAAAGTCTTCTTCTTCATATAAGACTTGAGAAGACTCTTGACTAGTGACATTTCATATAACATTTTTTAAATCTTGCAATCAAAGATCAACATGAATCCCCCCCAAATTCGTTAAGCAGAATCTGATTCTGTCTTTAAAAAAAAAAAAGCAATTTCAACGGCGATAAGTACGGAATCGAATAATAAGCCGTGAATCTAGTTCAAAGAAGATCCGATAATCAAACCCAGAAATGTATTTCGTCTTCTTCTCCATTTTCCCCAAATTTGAAACCCTAATCTACCAACTACATTATCAAAAAAGTATTTGATTCTTCGTCACACAGAGAAACAAAAAGTATTTCAGAAAAATCAATAATGACTAAAGATTGAAATCTCTAAACAAGAACATTATTCGGATTCTTCAAAGAAAACCCGAAGAGTCATTGTTCTTTATACACAAAAAAACACAGAGAGATTTCAAGGAGAAACCCAGTTCTTAGAATCGATAATCAATCAGTAAAAAACTCGAAGAACATTGCAAAAACCCAACAATGTAAGAATGTAGAAATAGTACCATGATTCGTCTGTTGTTCTTAGGCTTGATTTCTCGATTTGGGTTCTCGTGATCTTCAATCGCCATTTTCGGAAATGCAGTGAAAAGACCAGACTATTTGTTTGTGAATCAGCCGCAAAAAATAAGATACCAAAAAGGGTTTTTCTTTTTAGAGAGAGAAAAAGGGTTGGGTTTAAGAGAGTAGAGAGAGCAGAAATGGGTTTCTTGCAGAGAGGGTTTTAGAGAGAAGAAAGAAGCAAAGAGAAAGAGTCCTTCTTCTTATCCTACCAATGTCGACAAAACCGAACCTGCTTCCGAACCTAAAGTCCGAGCCTAAGATGCTTTACGTTTTAAACCGACTCTTAATCCCGAACCTAAAATCCGAGCCTAAGATGCGTTGGGTTCAAGGAACCCTTCCTTGGAATTTTCTCTGCGATTATTTCTTTTTTATTTTTAGTTTTTAAAATATCTTTATGTCCTTCTTTGGTCTTATCACTCACAATTATATACTTCTTCCTCTTTTTTTTTGCAAAAATATTGAAGAATCTCGTCAAATTTTATTCCGTATTTGTGTTTTTTATTAATAAAAATATCAATATAAATGGTTATCTAGTCATCACATTTACTGGTTGTTAGAAGGAGTTTGATAACTATGTCCATTGTTGAAAAGTATAATGGTATTTTTTAATTTTTATTAATGTGATTTGAAAAGTTGATTTATTAGGTTAAGATATTCCCTAGTTGATAAAGTTATTGCGCCATTATTGCAATTTGACATCTCAGGTGCTTTCTCTATTTAATTAATATGCACATTGCTCATGTTTATGCGTATTAAAACCCTGATTCACAACATTCATCAAAAAAAAAAAAAAAATTGAGAAGAACATTCATCCAATCTTCATGCTTTCAGGTTTTTAAAAAATGATTCCACTATATTTGATGCATATGTTTTAAAAAATTTTACAGTGGAAAGTCATGGACAAACATTCACTATCATTGCTGGGCAAAAAAAAAAAAACATTCATCAAAAATGTTAGTTTTCTAAGTTTGTTTAAATTACCACAACGGCAC